GCCATGTATCATGAGATTCTGAGCCAAAACCTCCTTCCATCAGTAAGAGCTTTGAAGATGAAACGTGGCTGGGTCTTTCAACACGACAATGATCCCAAACACACCGCTCGGGCAACAAAGGAGTGGCTCCGTAAGAAGCATTTGAAAGTCCTGGAGTGGCCTAGCCAGTCTCCAGACCTCAACCCCATAGAAAATCTGTGGAGGGAGTTGAAAGTCCGTGTTGCTCGGCGACAGCCCCAAAACATCACTGCTCTCGAGAAGATCTGCATGGAGGAATGGGCCAAAATACCAGCTACTGTGTGTGCAAACCTGGTAAAGACCTATAGTAATCGTTTGACCTCTGTTATTGCCAACAAAGGTTATGTTACAAAGTATTGAGTTGAATTTTTGTTATTGACCAAATACTTATTGTCCACCCTGATTAACAAATAAATTCTTTAAAAATTCTGCCATGTGAATTCATGGATTTTTTTTTTCACATTCTGTCTCTCACAGTTGAAGTGTACCTATGATGAAAATTACTGACCTCTGTCATCATTTTAAGTGGGAGAACTTGCACAATCGGTGGCTGACTAAATACTTTTTTGCCCCACTGTATGTTTCCTACGTGTTGACCTTTGTACAAGCTTCACTGCAATGGATGACTGACTGAAGCGCCGCTCACATCTACGCTGTCACTTTTGTTGCCCTAATTTCACAAAGACCTGCCTACTTAGATGGACCTCAACAGAATATTTAGGCCATTTTGGGTTGTGTTTTCATTTAAGAATGATAAATAATTAATTCCCTTTTTGTAGAAAGCTTCCTAAATAAAGACTGATGAGCTAACAGCTAGGTTGAACACAGCATGAACCACAGGAGGTTGGAGCCGTTTTAAGATGGCAACAATCCAGTTAGGGCTGAAAAGCAATAGCTTGTCTGAAAATCAGAAATTATCATTTTCATAGCAATCAATGGTGTGGTAACACAACGCTGCGTGAAATGATGTGAACTTTTAGGACTTTGATCCACTTTATGATGGCAACTGTATGCTTTGGGCCTGAGAGCAGACTAGCCGCTCCCTCCTCAGGCTTGATGGATGTAAACTCTCATCTCTCCAATTTCAGGTCACTTAAGAAGCTTTCTACAATGGGAAAGTTTCCAGTTATTTAAAAGGGTCCTAGAATTCAAAGCCACATTTACCTTGTTGTTGAATGTACCATTCCTAAAAGTCTGCCGTCTATGGCCTGTTTTATTAGTAGTACATTTGTATGATCACAGAGGAATGGTTCAGTCTAAGTCAGTGGTTCGCAATCCTGGTCCCGGAGGGCCGGTATCCAGTTTTAGCTTTAACTCTGTTTCAATACACCTGATTTCAGTCAGTAGGTAATTAACAGACTTCTGCAGAGCTTGATGAGCTGCTTCACAGGTGATTCTACCACTGAATTAATTGTGTTGGGGCTGAGAAACCACTTAAATGTGCTGAATATTGACCCTTCAGGACCAAGATTGAGAACCACTGGTAACAGTAAAGCTAGTATAATACGTCATAAGCTTAAATTAGCATTTTCTAACCTACATCAACGTCGGCAATATGTAAATGTTGGTGGAAATGATGCTAACCGCAGGAAACCACAAGCCTGAGCTACTGCTACCATCCTTGTTGGTCAAGATTAAAGATGAAAAATGTCAGAGCACACATGTAATGTTCCAGGATGTGCTGAGAATGTTCAGATCTATGCCTTTTGAGTTATCTGGACACTGTACACAGAAGTTTTAGTTGCAGGCAGCATCAAAGAATCATCTGGGCAAACTAGCCAATCAGTGTGCAGCTTATCTATTATTCATATCCTGGCCGAGTGGGCGGAGTGGGCTCCTTTGCCATTTTGAGCTCCAACAAAGATTCATATGATATATAAAGGCTCAAAAATCAGTTTCCGGTTGTATAAAAAGACTTTAATACAGAAACACACGAATGGCCAAATATTGATTTAAATGTATCCTCTGTTGGTATTTCTACTGATTTCTGTCTAAATGTCAGGTGACAAACGTATTTTTAGGTGGTTGTTTGTAATTTCAACATGTGTTCCTTGTTCATAGACATATGCATAGATTAATCTATAAAATAAGCTCTTCCGAAAGAATTGTTTTAAAAGTCGCTCAAAACCAGGATGGACTTTCTTAGATCAACAGAAGAATCTGCATCAAATTGTTATTTTTTCAAATCACACATAAAGCACATGCAGCGTAACCGCTCATAGAAGATGCACGTGGGCGACGGTGGCACAGGAGTTAAGTCTCTGTTGATGCTAAAAGTTGTGGGAATCAATTACAGATAAAGTGTATCAAGTGTGACGTCTCTAATGTGACAAACAGGAGACATGTTTGTATAAAAATCAACATTTTTATCACTTTTACTTCTCACAATACACACACACACACACACACACACACACACACACACACACACACACACACACACACACACAGGATGTCATATCTCCTGTGATCTTCTGAGCTATGCAGTCCCAAATGTGTTTATCTCTTTAATGACAACAATGAATGGCATAGTTGGAATAGTTCGGGACAAGCTCAGAGTTTTCCACACTTGTCCTTGGATCCCGTCTGGCCAGCTGGATCACACACACACCTCTCCACAATGCAGGTTCAGCAGACTTCCTGTGGACTATTGTATCTGTGGGGAGATGGAGGCATCCTGGTCCAAATGTCCAGCTGGAGCAAGCCAACCCACCCCCTCCTCACCTTCTCTCCTCACTTCCTTTCATAATCTCCTCTTTCCTGTGCTCCTTCTCCCCCACAATGTATTTTCCTTCTCCATTGCTCTTGTTTTTCTGCATATGAGACACTAACTTGTTGCTTTATCTGCCCACTCTTCTTTAACCGCTCTTCTCTCCTCTGCCTCCTCTGCATGAGACCTTAGGTGCCATTTAACCATAATTTTTAGAGCCAGTTATGCGTCCAGCAAAAACGAGACAAAACAGATGCAAACACTGGCCTTCCCGCATTATTCTGCTTCAGTGATCTCTTCAGTGTCCTCTTCATCTTCAACGTTTTATCTCTTATTAACTCTCAAGCCTTAATAATTTCCCAGTGAAATAATGTCTGCTTGAACATCAGTTTGTTTTTATTTTCTTCACACTACAGATGTTTTGTGTCAGCATTGGAAATGACTCATACTGCTGTTGTGAGACCCTAATCCATTTTTAAGATGCTTTTTATTATGACAAGTGTTTTTAATTTTCTGTGCCCAGATGTTTTCTAAAAATTGCTCAGTTTTGTCATGTCATTGGGAGATTTCTGATTTGTGCAATCTTGAAGTCTTCACTAAACAGAATGTGTGTAGAAATATAAATGGGGTGTTATTTCAGTAAAATTGTGGACCAAACTTTTTTACTTTCTTACAAAATTGTTATGCAAGTGTTCCTCAAATTTGCAAACAACGCAACAAGGGTTATCAAAAATTCTACCTTGACTATCTGCTGTGTTAAATAAAAATAATCATTAATCTTAATTAAAATTAGTTGTTGGTTTTTTTTACTTTAAAGAAACAACTTAATAATCCCAGAGGGAAATACATTTTTTTCATAACATTTTATGTTTAGAAAAAAAAATCAATATTGGGAAGTTTGGCTGTGAATTATTTTTTTTTTTTATAGAAAATTCTTCTCATGCCATTTTCGCTCTGTAGCCTGTAATTGCTGAAACAGGATGTCTTGTCTATGCTTTCCATTAGAAATTTAGGATTAGTTATGACATCCTACATGAATATGCTGATGTCTGGTTTCCAATAGGGAGCCTAAGTCTCCTCCCCTTCCGGTCGGCTCATGGGTCCCCGGAAGAATGAAAAAAATGAATGCAAGTCAACGGGGCTAATCAGCTTGGTCCTGGATCGCACAAATGTTGTACTTCATTTTAAATGGAAATTAATGATGGGTGTTTTAACCACACCTGTCACATACTTTGGGAATCATCAGCTTGTAAGTTCGTATTTAGCATGAATACAAATCAGATGTCGGCACGTCGCATATACGACGTCACCACATAATCTCCTCTTCCCTAGCATAGTTTCTACTTACAAAGTGACCATACTTACAGTGGTTCTTTCTCTCCGATGGAAGGATTTTAAGTTTGCTGAACTTACAGCCATTTTCCCTCTGTTTTTCTCCGTGTCTGGTTCAGTGACGTCACTTTAGTGAAGCTGATTTCTTGTCCTGGACTTATTTTTACACCAAATTCTAAATAAGCGTGAAAATAAGCACGTTCTTGGTATCAAAATGCATCTTTAAAATTTACGGACATCATATGGAATTAGAAATTTGCGTTTTCAGCCCCATTGACTTGCATAAATTATTTTTGTTCTTCCCGGGTCCCGTTGTCCGGAAGTAGATGGGCTCCTATAACTGAACCGCACAAAGTCCGAAAGAGTAGCCTGGCAAGTCATCCTATATAAGTGAATATATAGTCCAGCCATGACCCATTGATGGTTCTCAGCAGTCTGTGCAAGCCATTGGACAACAAACAACGTGACATACGGGGCAGTCCACCATACTCTATTGAAGAAGATGTAAATACATTGTTTTTCTAAATAATCTCAAGTATCTATCTGCTCTTGACTCAAAGATAAACCCAAGTCTAAATTGTCCAAAGTTCATTCCAAAGCCGTTTCAAATGAGCCATCTTAGTTTCGCTCAGTCGCAGTTACATCCCGCCCACCAAACAGAGTGCTGGGATTGGCAGGGCACGAGACTTTCTGGGGCTGCGAACGTTCCAACGGAGCATGGCTAGACCGACATGCAGAACAAATTCATTTTTCTTCAGCAGCTGACGCTCTAGATATCTAGGCCACCAAAAGAGTGCAATAACCCCTAAACTAATATACAAGTTTCTACCTTTTAAAAAAAATTGGAAGCAAAATCACTGTAGAATAAATATTTCTATGTATATTCAATAGTTCTCTATAATATAATTAGGAGCTGATGTTTTGTTGAATATTTTTCCAGTTCTGCCAGCCCGGAGGTTGGAGGCTCTCCAGAGAAAGAAAAGCACCGACCTTCTTCACTGTTGTGCTGACGGACATTGATTCTGACCGACACTACTGCTCCTGCCTCACTTTCTTTGAGGCCGAGGTCAATCTACAGGTAAGACCTTCTCAGTCACTGATTTCAATACCATTTCATAGAGACTTAAGAAAATTTTGATACACTGAAAAATCGTAATATTTCATGTGTCAAATTTTTTATTAAGAATTTACGTGCAAAAATTTACTGCATTTCTGTCAAGTAGTGCAATTCCGACTGCTAGGTAGCAGCAGTTTTTACCACCTTCTTTCTTACGGAACAACAAGATCTTGCGATAACACTGAATGTGTCTGGGAAGCATCTGGTATGAGTTTTCCAATTAAATTCAGTCTTCAGTCAAATATCTTCTGGTTTTTAGTATTGCAATATCGTCTCCCCTGTATTGTGACCAAGCCCCAACAATGCGGGACAGAAATTAAGGCCAACGCGGGAGTGAAATAAGTTGCGGTTCCACCCTCATCCGCTGGGGGCTGGTGTCAGAAGCGAGCAAATCCTCATTGACTCCCATGTTAAAAATACCAATTTCACAGCAGAAATAAACATGTTTACAGCCTGGTACCAAAACATGTTTTTGGTTTAAATGATCAAATTTACACTCATGACAACTCTGAGGGGGGTGAATTTTTTGTCACTCTTCTGTTTAAGTGTATTAAAAGCCTAAAATTCTGTATAATTAATGAGCATCAGACCCACGTGACCACAGATCTAGCTCCATGGAAAGGCCTCAGTAGCCTCAGCCTTGCCTGAAAACTGTTCCGCGATTTTTAGTCTCTGAACTTAGTTGTAGCGTTTGTGCATTCTTTTTTGGATATTATTTGTGCAATTTTTTGGCAAAATGACTTGCTGTGGTATTAATTGCACTAATAGAGCGTCCAAGGAGTCTCCACTTCATTTTTTTTGGTAAGCAAAATTATATTTATGTATTTATGTCGATGATTTTAGGTCGCTGCTGCTCTTGCACTAGCTGAGCTTAGATTTTAAGATGTACTGTTTAACCATGAAATTTAAATGTAATAGGGTAAAACCCAGTGTATTTAACATAACGCTGCATTTTAGAAAATGGGTTGAAATATAACATGTTGGTGGAGCTGGGTTCCGACTACCGGTATGGTCCCCACCCCGTGGCTCGCCGCATCTCTGATCGCCGCAGCGCTTGTCTGCTGCGCGGGCTGCTGTCTTGTGGATCTCTCGGCTGGAAACCGATGTTTTCAACCCAGTTCTCCCCAGCGGCAGCTCTGCACATCTCTGATCGCAGCGGCGCTTGTCTGCTGCACGGCTGCCAGCTTGTGAAGCTCTCGGGAGACCTCTGTGTTCCACCCGGTTTTACCCAGCGGTCAGCCCAGCATATCTGTGACTCAGAAGCTCTGGTGTTGTGCACAGTTAACTCCGGTTGTAGCTTGGTTGCTGCCTCCGTTAGCTTAGCTCCCACCTCCACGTAAGCTTTGGGTTAGCTTCAGTTTAGCTTGTAGCTACATTAGCTTCAGTTCGACGGGTGTCGTCATTTGATCCCAGCCTTACAGCCCCACCCTCAGCTCCACGTCTCTTCCCTTTTGTGGAATTGTCTGGGCTTGACGGAACCTGTGACACAGTCAAAATGGCGGTGGTGGCCACCTCCCTTTTAGCCTCAAAAACATGTTATTGGAGCCTATGGAAACCCATTGTCCATATATTTCTATGTTGATGATTGTGACACATAACCTATCGCCAGACAGAACGGGACTGATAGATGGATTGGTGCTGCGCCTGCAGTGATGCAGGAGTTGTACCGCTCCGTCGTGGTGAAGAGGGAGCTGAGCCAGAAGGCAAATCTCTCGATTTACTGGTCGATTTACAGTCGAACCCTCACCTATGGTCACGCGCTTTGGGTAGTAACAGAAAGAATGAGATCACGGATACAAGCGGTCAACATTGAGTTTTCTCCGCAGGGTGGCTGGGCTCTCCCTTAGAAATCGTTCGGGAAGGGCTTGGAGTAGACCCGCTGCTCCTCCACATCGAGAGGAGCCAGTTGAGGTGTCTCATGCATCTGGTTAGGATGCCCCCTGCGCCCCCCCATTCCCGTGAGGTTTTCCGGGCACGTCCAACCGGAAAGAGACCTAAAGGAAGACTCAGGACTGAAGGGACTATGTTTCTTGGCTGGCCAGGGAACGCCTTGGGATTCCTCTGGAAGAGCTGGCCCAAGTGGCTGGAGAGAGGGAAGTCTGGGCTTCCCTGCTTAGGCTGTTGCCCTCATGACCCGACCCCGGGTAAGCGGATGAGAATAAATGGGAGGATGGATCCTATTGCCAAATTCTTGCCTATATAGACCCATAATTTCTAAGAGCATAGTAATAAAATAACACACACAGCCAGGAGAGACCTGCAGCACACTTATTGAAATATGAGTTTTCTGAGTTGCCATCTTGCCTGGGCGAAGCTTGCTTGATTGCCAAAATCATCCAGGGGGCCTGATAGTTGGGCAATACTTAATTTCTGTTTTCCATTTTAGGCTTGTTTTGTTATTAGGCGGCCTTTAAAGTTTTTTTCTTTTCAGGATTGTTTGTCACTTGCATGATGCCGCACAGATTTTAAGGCATAATTAGAAAACAAGCGCTTGCTCAGATCTAAGCTAATAAATACAGAGTTGGCTGAGAGATTCTCTCGTAAAGGATAGACCTGATCGCTCCTCCAGCCTCTTTTATTGGTTTACTTGTGTGTGCAAAATTGTGTTTGACTGCAGATTAGTGGTCACGTCCTACATGTTCCACATTTCCACTAATTATTGATTACAACACCTAAGTCTGAAGGAGAACATTTCTAACTCCCGAGCATGAGCTTGTTAAAGTTTTTCTCTGCCAAAAGCCTTCAGAATACCAAGGTAATTGTTTCACTGTGTGGGGCTTTGTAGCAGGTTTCAAACACTCCTGTCGTTTTGCCCGTTGTGACTTCACTTCCTCTCACATGTGGACAGCAGTCGCCACTCACACTCCTGCTTGATTTGAGAGGGCGTTGTGTCGTGAAACGTGTGTCCACCACAGTTAAACATGATTAAAGTTATGCAGGTAGAAGTTTTTAGAGAGGTCTGTAGCATTTAGCATAATTTGATATTTTCTGCTCACTAGAATCATCTCAAACTTGCCACACTTACCCGTTTAATCAGAAACATCAGATGAAAAGCTTTATTTGAATTTGCCACATTGCTGGTTTTCCTGAGGTTTCCAATAAGCTGACTAGTGATTTACCAGATTTTGTTGCATTTCTTTGTAAGTTCTCAAAATTCTTCATTTCCTAACTTCCTGTTTTCTTGTCATTTTTTTCCTACTATTTCCTTTTGTCTTAAACAGCTGGCAGGAAACAACTTTAATAGATAATTATTGTTTTTCTTCTATACAAATGATCATTTGTTTTGCGCTACATACCTGGCATTAACGTCATGTAACATGCAACAAAAATTTAACCTGGTTTATTTGTAAATTTAATTTAGTTTTTGTATTTTTATTGGGTTTATTTCAGATTTGCTCCCCTAATGTTGATGTTCATTTGTTCAACATTACTGACTGGTGTCATTTCTTTAAAGGTCTCATTAACAATAAATTTGCCATGGTTTCTTACATGATGGAATGCCTTACAAGTTATTTTCTGTGAGGAAAACACTCATGCGATAATTTTTCAGGTGGTAGTTTGTGGTAGAGTAGTTGTGGGAGGGGGGAGGGGGGGCAGGATTTGAAGTGTAACTCATTAATATTCATGATAAGCAAATGACCCATCTCTGATTAACAGCAATGCGACTCTTCCACTGCCCTCATTCACTCTTCTCTCTTGAATAAAGAAATAAAATGTTGCTATATTTTCTCTGCAAAGGACACAAGCCCAAATGTGCCACCATTTTGCTGATGATTAGCTTCTACTAGGCACGCTCTGCTTTCTCCATGCTGCAGAATCACAGTAGTCTACTGTGGCCACAAGTCAGGGTGGGTGAGGCCAAGAATGCTAATTTTCCCTGGGGTTTTCTGGCCTGATCGTTTTCCGTTTATTTCCCGTTTGTGGCTAATGCTGGTGAACTGGGAAGAAGACTATGTTCACATTCAGCCTGCATATGAAACTCAGAGTGACTGATCGTCTTTTAAAACAAGTTTTACAGTTTCTCAGTGAAGGAGACCTTTAAGGCACACTTAGGGTTTTGCTTGCTTTTAGCACCTCCTAGTGTTCATAAGTAGAACACCTTCATCTGACAGCTGTAACGTCTCCCCAGCCTTCATTAGTGTCTACATGATCAGTTCGTCACTAAATTAAACTATCAGCTGTGTTAATGATCTAAAACATGCAGGAAACGTGCTGGAAGCAGCCTGCAGCGCCAGGTATGTCAGCTCATTTTTTCCCCCAAAAGACCAGACTGACGCTCTGAAGTTGGAAATGTGGTATTCTGGTCACAGAGGGTAGTGGGGTCTGAGTGACATTTCATTAACCTTTTAAAGGGTCATTTTATTACAAACTAGCACAAGAAAATGATTTAATATATGAAAAAGTTGTCAAGTACTGTATATCTTCACTGAAGGATTACTGGATCAGAAGTAAGAACTAAAAGTATTTATTTACTTATTAAACAAGAAAGTACCAATAAGTACTCAAAAAAATATTATAAGAAGTAAAAAGTTAAGAATAGCGAGGTCTTTGTTGGGTTATTTAGCATAAAAACAAACACTATCTCTAGATTGTTTTTTTTAAGTGAAGTTTCAGTTTGTGACCTCAGCGTTTCGCTAATCAGTAGTTTAGGTTTCGTTGAGGTCAAAACAATAACAGACATGCTTATGACTCGTGAATGCTGTAATATAAAGACTTTTCCCAACTCTTTTTCCGCAGCACCGCTTTAGTTTCTGTCAGGCTCTTGTTAATCATTAGATCAGGCTGAGTTCGGCTTCCTCACGTTCCTGCAAACAGAGACACGCATTCCAATATAGTTTCTGAAGCCCTGAAGATCCTCTGCAAACACGACAGTCTTTACTTTCTAAACTGACATCTTTATCTGCTCACGTGGATCGCAGGAAGCATCCAGACGGACCGGGCGGGAGTGTGTTTTGTTTAATAATCGAACCAAATCCTAAAAATAATGAAGAAATGTGACCTGCATCTAATTGGGTTGTTTAAATCCCTCGGATGCTTAAGCACTCTTGGTGGTATTTCCACAGCCTGAGGAAACTCACCGGGTTTTAGTAATCGCTTAAGGTTAGGAACGAGCACCAAGAGGTTAGTGTGCGTGCGTGCATGCGTGCGTGTGTGCGTGTGTGTGTGTGTTTGTGTGTGTGTGCGTGTGTGCGTGCGTGTGTGTGTGTGTGTGTGTGTGTGTGTGCGCGTGCGTGCGTGTTTGTGTGTGTGTGTGTGTGTGTGTGTGTGTGCGCGTGCGTGCGTGTTTGTGTGTGCGTGCGTGTGTGTGTGTGTGTGTGTGTGTGTGTGTGTGTGTGCGTGCGTGCGTGCGTGTTTGTATGTGTGTGTGTGTGTGCGTGTGTGTGTTGCAACTGAGCCTGTTGATCCACAAAATAGACACTGAACTAGATGAAAACGTGCTTTTTGGATCTTTCTAACAGATTCTTACCCATAATACAATCTTTCAGTGGTCGTAGTGAAATGGGCAACCAAGCTGTGTGTGAATCAGAAATAACTTTTCAACATAATTGATTGGCCAGACTTTCATAACAAGGTCACTTCTTATAAAGTTCCTTAGCCATGATGCAAATTCTGCTTTAATTGTAATGACAGATGCATGTTTTTAACTTTTATATAAAACAGTTTAAACTGTGTTTCAGCTCTTTTTACCACTGATTCAAACACATATGTCTAATGAATGCTTTGTTTTCTGGGAGAATGTTCACATAATGTGTAATGCAGGTCTGATGAGTACTAGATAGCAGTTTGAATTTGATTATATCTTTTAGCTAAAACCAGGAGCTCACTGCTGCTTTGCAGTCAAGTTCAAGGTCCTCTTTGTTGAACTCTAACTAAAATTGATTTTTTTTCTCCTCAATATTTCAGGGATCAAAGAGCATCGAGGCTGATGGGGATGAAGATGAGGAGGAGACAGAGGAGAACGGCATGATCCAGCCTGCTCAAGTGTTTGCACCAAAAAGTCTCATTCTTGTATCCAGGCTGGATTATCCCGAAATATTCCGGGTAATAAGACTCCGTACAGTTATATCTTGATTGAAAATATTTGTCAAACCACTCAAAAAGAAATTCCAGCCATTTTTGTTCAAATATTCTTTAATCCTGCAATCCTGAAATGATGATGATCCCATTTGTACCGTCTGCAGCGGGTCAAGTTAGCTTAAGGGCTAGCCTGCACATCACTTGAGCATATTAGAAATATCAGCTGTTATCTTTTCATTACAAGCTGTTATTACACTCACGTGTTTAATAGGTCAGAGCAAGTTGTGTTATCCATGTGAGCTTTCTCTTACAGAATTATCCATGTTTCACGTGTAGGGATGTTTGGGGCTGATCTACACCGTGCACATCGACAGCCTGAGTTTCCCCTTAGACGGTCTGGTGGCCAACCTCTTCACGTTCTTGGTTCCTGTTGCTGGTGGATCTCAGGTGAGTCTGGCCTGACATGCTGTGACAACACCTCATAGATCTGTTGCACAAGTGTTTATCACGAGCGAGCCTCAGTTCATACCACCAGGGCCTAAAGATGGTCCGTATCAGAGTATTTGAGCAAGTTATCGTGTGTTAAAGTGATGCATGAGACTCAACAGAGCAGCGACATGATTTATGTTTGTTATGCAGCCAGTGTGGAACATTGTGTTCATGTGGTGCTCGGGGTTGTTGTCCAGCCACAGCCTCTATTTGTTTATTTTTGTTTTTGATGCATCCATTTTAAACTTTGGACAATTTAGAAGAATTTGTCAGAAATCGCTATTGTATTAGTTACTTTTTTTATTTTTATTTTTATTTAACCTTAATTTAACCAGATAAGTCGATTGAGAACTCATTTCCCATTTACAACAGCGATCTGGCCAAGAGGTAGCAGCAACAGACACATAGTTAGCTTTACATCAAAGAAAAACAGATGAGATAAAACAATCAGACATAAAGACAAAGGACTGTTCTCATACGGGGCAAGGGTCAAACAAATTCTGTGAAACAAGCAGATAAACGTAGAATTAAGTCAAGAATGAAATTCCTGTTTGCTGTATTGCAAAATTGCTGATTCCTGATTATCATCACAGAAATAAACATCATTAATAACAAAAGTCTGAGGAAAAGTCTGTCAGCAGGGCGCCTCTAAATTAGCTCAAAGTTATTAAACTCGACATGCTACGTTTGAGATGTTTTTATGCTACAGATTTTTTGAAAGATTTCTGTAATTTTGCTGAGACTTCTAGTTTTTTGTTGTTATCGTTCAGTTCATCAACTGCAGCAGCTGTGTGTTCACTAAATGTGTAGTCCTTATTTGTTGCAGCAACAGTGCGCTCGGCCATCAATCTGAACATCAGTGGCTTTACGGTGTGAAGTCGATGGTTTTGGAGATTCACCGTGATCCAGTTCTGACATTCTCTCATTTCTGTTTCTGTTTTCTACAGAAGCTGTTTAGCTTAGGAGCCGGAGATCGGCAGCTCATCCAAACGCCTCTCAACGACACGTTACCCATCACAAACAAGAGTGTTGCCCTGCTTTTCCAGCAGCTCGGTGGGTTCACACACTTTGAGAGAAGGACTAGTCTTATTCTAGCCTGCTTTTTGTGAAAACTCTAAAAACCCATTTTTAAATTATTATTTCTGATTATAAACAGTCACTGTGAGTTTTTCATCCAGGCTGAACATGAAAATAGTCTCCTACACCTATCTCCTGCATTAGCTTCCCAGAGAAAACAGACGGTGAAACTCTAGGATTTGAAAATCCTGACAGATCTACGTCACACTGTCACTTAGCGTTCATGGACTCACCCATCTTGACTCGCGACGGGGAAGGCTGTAGTTGGTTTAGCCTACAGGAAGCAGCAGAGAACATCCTGACTAGTAAAAGCTAACTGTTAGCATTAGCAGCTCCACCACGCAGCAGAGCTTCTTCAGACTTGTCTTATTTGTGGAGATAAACATCAACGTTGCAAGTCAGGAGTCGTGTTGCTGTCATCCAATCCGAGGAGAGATGTCAAAATATCAGGAAATAAGAGTCCAAATCCTGCCGTGTTGTGCCACTCTCTGAAGCAGCAGACTTGTCCATGCCGATCCAAGCACTTCTAGGAATTTTGTGCCCTGAGTACGGCTTGCAAGGCATTCATTCCTACTAGAGACCACTGCAAATGTATTGATTAAACATGTTTCCCACACATTTAAAGGTCTAAATGGTACAAGATTAATTGAATTTGTGCTTCTGGCTATTATGTTGACACCGCTGCCCGTTTTGAGACTAAGATTTATTCTTTTTGTTGAAATAATTATAAACATTGGGATCTAATTCTAAACATTAGTCACCTTTTAGCTTAATCAGGCAGCTTAATGTGTGATATCCAGTCTTTGTTGTACATAATAGACTTGATTCAGCTTCCTAGATCGCATGATGGTAAACTTTAGCACAGAAAGTCAGGAGACTTGCTTGGATTCAGTAAGAGCTTTAGTTAAATCTGTGTTTCTGAGGAACTGTAGTCTTTGTGTTGACCCTTCAGTCTTTCTGTATTTTGCATCTACTAACAAGCAGATGATAAAGATTTGCTGCCATCTCCACGGATTGTGTCACAATGGTTTAAACAGCATGTTGTTTATTTAGAAGTGAAGGAATTGTATGGGTTGTGTGTGTGCTTTTTAAGTGCTTGACTGTCTTTGATTTATGGTGACTTGTGTGGCTTTGTGGGGCTGTGCTTCCAGAGAATATCCATCACTTTCCTCAACTCCCCATGCTTTGGCATTAATCACAAAGCAAGCATTACTCTGTAATGGAGGTCGTTCTCAAAGGCCCGCTCTTGTTTCACTTACTCAGCGTGCATGTGTTGGCTCCGAGTTAAATTAAATATAATTCACCTGAAATTTGTTTGTAATGGAAAGTTGGCCCTTTAGCTTGGTTTGATCAGAAGAATGTGCTTGGAATCCGTGATCTCTGCTTCCTGAGTGCATTAACACCATCCTCGTTTTGTTTAGACAGAATGAAGAACATGCACATGGGGGGTACTTGCACGACACACTTGATTGGGGTTATGTGGTGGTTATGCATTCGTAGCCAATCTGGATACACTGAACAGTGTTGACTCTTGTGTTCTTCCTTGGCCGCTCAGTCATCTTAAACCTGCTGCCATTAATCAGCAGAGCTCAGAGAGAGCTGATGTTTGTTCTCTTCGTAGTGTAAATTCATTATACATGTGGGGGAATGTTCAAGAGGTCAATCAAGATGAGGAATTTTGACTTTCATTTTCCTTAAGTGTCACCCTGGCTTTCCATGGGATGTGTAATTGTTGTATAATTTTTGTAAAGCATAAAACGCAGCTAGCTGATTGCCGCTGTTATTGTCAGTCATTGATTTTATGGATGCATCAGAGAACCGAACTATTGCTTTAATTTAGGGCTGCACGATATTGGGAAAACCTGCGAAATGCAATAACAGTGATTAATATTGCAATGATGATATTTCTTGCGATAAATAAAAACTTAACTCAGGAACAAAAATAATCAAAAACAAAGAAATAAAAAATGACCAAAAAAATTAATAAAAATTATAAAAGCAAAAGATGTGAAGAACGGGGAAAAGAAAATGTACAAGAAAAGGCAATCAGTGGATCCCGGGAAAAGCAGAATCAGCAGAAAGAGCAGAACAAAGCTAACTCAGGTGTTTGCTAACCATCAAAATTAAGTGTCGTCCGTCTCGGGGGTGGGCATCTAACATATGAGAACTCACCCAATTGGCCAAATGGGTGAAAAGCTCTTTTTGATTGGTTAAAAAACATCATGCTTCTGTTTGATTGACAGAATGCATTATTTGTAGCAAACATTTGAGCTGACCATTCATAACGATATTTATCTGTTCTGCATATTGCGCATGCTGATATCACGATATTGATATATTTGCGATATATTGTGCAGCCCTACTTTAAATTGACTGAAGTTGGTTTTTAAAATGTAAGTAAATACTTTAGTCTGCGTGCTTATAAGCGCATTCTGGAGGCTACATGTTTTATAAAAATATCACATTAGTTTCCTTACATTGAACTAAATAATTACACTGACATTTCTTTATTTTACTAGACAAGTTAAGAGTCAGACACCAGCAGTTAACTATGTACACCCCTATGTGATGGTATAGGCTAATCAGAAGAATGCCAACATGAAAGGGCTCATGTCGCCACCTACCTTAGTGGAGTTGTACACACTTCATTCAGTAATTTGTTTTTCGGTTTTAGGTACAGAGCAGTTGTTATTGAATAGACTTCAGCTTGTTGAAAAGGCTGCGGCACGCTTGCTGACGGGCACTAGGAAGTTGGGCCATATTACCCCTGTACTGGCCTCTCTTCATTGGCTCCCCATAGTGTACAGAATCTATTTTAAAGTTCTGCTCTTTGTTTTACAATCGTTAAATGGGTTGGCTCCTCCGTATATTGATGAACAGGTAAACCCCTTTCCGGCAAGAAATGTCAGGTCAAGCTCTCAGTTCCTCTTAGAAATTCCAAAGAGTTGTTTGAAAACTAGGGGAGATGGAGCATTTCCGGTGGCGGGTCCAAAACTATGGAACAGCCTTCCCTTACAACTAAGAACTGCACAGATTTTGGAAAATTTAAAATCCTTACTTAAGACACACATATATGAACTGGCTTTTATGGCAGGGTACATTTTAGTTGAATGCTTTTATTATTGTGTGGTTTTGTTGTGCTGCACTATTATGTATAACAGTTTGTTTTTATGCTGATTCTTATTACTCGCATAACTGGAAAGTGCTATTCAAAAAAACTTATGAATGAATGAATTAATGAGCCACAAAAAGCAGTAAACCAGAGATATCAGGAAGTTGTGTTTTTGAGGTAGGGGGTTTAAAAATAAACTCATTTCATGCAGGCAACCAGCTTTCTTGTAGTATTTGTACAGGAATGGAATTCCTGTAAAGGCCATTTACCATTCCATTAGCAGGAATAACTGGATAAGAAAAAAGCTAAAATTAAATATTTTTTGACAGTTTAAACGTAATAATATCTCGTGTTGTTCTTGGTCAAAAAAGCCACTTCAGGGTGCTGAAATACCAAAAAGGGTGTTTTTCTGTTTGTTTTCCTAGCATTAACACTAGAACTCCCAGAGAGCCGCCATTTGGCACCGTTGTTTTCACCTAGCATTCTTATTCACTTGTGAACGTTCACTTTTTTTCTGTAAATCACTTCAGAAGATGCTAGTGCTCCCCTCACCTCCCCCTCTAGCCTGTAGTTTTTTTTCTAGCAGTCAGGTAAAGATAGCCTAGGGAACTAGACCAAATTCTTGCTTTGCAAAGTATATATATATATATATATATATATATATATATATATATATATATATATATATGTCTGGCTTGCCAGGCTAAGGTAAAGACGCAGCTAGAGAAAAACCAGAGACACAAGACTACTCAACAAGAGTGTCTTCAGTCAGAGGCTACATGCAGGATATAATGACAGAGCATACGGGCATCTGTAAAACATGATTTTTTTTTTAATTACTATGTTTGAAGCCTTTATAGCTTATGTTGCATTCACAACTTGTGCGCTTATCTGAAGTCTTCACAAAGTCAGTCATAAATTATTTTGGGTGGGCAAGTTCAGTTGACCAGATTCAACAGAAGCCCATTTTAAAAAAGGGCCACAAAATGCTCAGGCAATCCAAGAAAGCATTATGGTTTTATTAGAGCAATAAACCTTCAAATGCACAAGCCTTTAGTGAATGTTTTGTATTGCAGCTCAAACCATTTTGGGGGAATAATGCAGGTTAACTGCAATGCAGACTTCGACTGTCCAGGTTCCTAAAAAAGGTTCATAACAGCTGTGATGAAGCTGCTTTTCAGGTGTTGAAAACAAGCCAGACTCTTGAAACGGCTTCAGGTGATCAGCTAAATCTGAATATAATTTATTTTTCAGGTTACATGGCTGCAATTGCATGTAAAAAGAAATGGTGAAAAGTGAAACTTCTTCAGTCCTTTGAGTTTTGACGTGATCTGTTCTCTGTCTCAGCTGAAGCCACGCTCCTTGAGTGTTTCAGACAAACCCTCAAAGAGGTGGCTGTCCGTCTCAGCTCCTGAGAATTGTCTGGCTACTTCTGCCTCTGCTCGTAAAGACAGAGGTTCACCGATCTTGTTGTCACTCCAATTATGTGGGAATTGGTTGTTTACTAACTTTCCCATGTTTACATAGTTTATATACTCTTTCCGGTCGGGGGTCACCGCACATTTGCTACGTCATTTGACATCTTCCTCTGTTGTGCCAAGGCGCAATCACTGTTTATAGGACAGACAATTACCGCAATATTACTACCAAGCGAGGTGCAACAAATGCAGCTAAATTCGCACAACGCCATTCCAGCATGGTGTGTTCATGAAACGCACTGTTGCGGTAATGGTACGCTGATTTGCCGGCACAGTGTGTCGTAAAAAGGGCTTGTGAGTCATTTTCTACCAGGGCTAAAGAGGCAAGCAAAATGAGGCCAACCTAAATGACTACGTTTACATGCAGCCAATATCCGGGTTAAGGTTGGCGTTCGGGTTTCTGAGTTGATCAGAATAACCCATTTACAAGCATAAATAGAAAGAGTTACCCCTAACTTGCATAACCCGATTTAAATGCGGATGTTGGGGTAGCGTCAGGACGTATGGACTACGTCAAGACGCAATATGCGGTTACCTTCTTGTATATTTCGCTGTCTCTGTAATTTCGGCCGTCAACAAAAGACATAATGTTCATACTTTTCACCAGACCGATGAAGAGAGAGGTTTCCTCGTCACTCCAAAAGTGTGGTGCTGTGCCGCGACTCGCCATTTTGCCCTCAACTTGTTGTTTACTTCCGGTGTTCTGGCGCATACAAGACGTCTCGCTACTCAAAAGACCAAGATTCCTTGCGAACAGAGCATGCGCAGAACACACGCTTTGATGGGGATATCCCGGTATGCATTTACACGACCAAACATTCTGGTTAGAAAAGGGTTACCCCAGGTGTAGTAACACCAGCCAGTTCATATATCCGGGTTTTTGGCGGTGTTTACATGGCCGTGCGGAACCGGGTTATTGTGAATATTCGGGTTTTAAAAGGATTACTGGCTGCATGTAAACGCACTCAGTGACTGAGAATTTTCAAGGTCCCCAACATTCCTCCACATTCCAATGGGTCATTGTCTGTGCTCTGCACAGATAATGACTACATTTACAAATGAAAGGCAGCTAAATGTCAGTGATTGAGTTGTGATTTTCAAACCAAGGAGCCATTTGGCTACCTCTGGTAGAGCTGAGGAGGTCAGAAAATCCTGGTAGTTCTAGTGTTAAAGTTAATTTCTTAAGTTTTTTTTCTGTGCAGGTTTGATCTTGGAGAAGTGCATCATCTTGGCAAAAAAAAACAACCAGAGATCTATTAATACTGACATATGAGAGACTATAAGTCAGCTGAGAAAAGAAGTGTTTAATCTTCACTCATTAGGTCATCATTCTGTCCATTTAAGGACGACTGTGCGGACATGCAGGTCGGCATATCGCTCTGTGTGCACAGGTCACAGAGTCACCAGAGAGGAATGTGTGTTAAACATGTCACATTGCACAGGAAGTAGCGGAGACACAACCGGCCGTCAACAGCCCCGTATAGTTTGTTGCTTCCTTCTTTCTGTCGCTGTCACCTTTTTATTTACAGCCCGGAAATGTGGCGCTGTTTCCAGCAGATAAGTGCACACCTGATGCGTAGGCGTGATTCTGAATCCCAAAACCTTTACTCCATTAAAAAAAAATATGTCCACTCAAATCAATTTCCCATTTATTTAAAAATAGATATTTTGTTGAGGCTCACATTTCCTGTTTATCGCTGAAGAGTTTCACTCAGGCAGCCAAACATCCAGACCCAGCGCCCCCAGCGGCCCGGGACTCGTCTGCCAGTGTTCCTCTTCCCTTATCACTCCAATGTGTGATGAATTAGTTTGTCAGTTGCTTGATAGGAAACAATAACAGGAACTGTAAACTTAGACATAATTCTGATTGTCACGCTTGTATTTGAAATATTACTCATACCGTCTGAGAGAGTGTAATTTCCGTTGTTTTTCAGAGCGGATTTCTCCCAAAGGCTTGTGTAAGGAGTTTAATGAAAAACGTCTCCCTTTGGTTACAGAAACCTGTGACAAAAAGCATTAAGCTGAATCAGCAGTGGGTACCCTGGAGGGAGTTTAGCTCTTGTTTCTGCAGTTTCTGATATTTACATCACTTCCTTGGCAGTGCAGATTTCAGAGATGATGTAGCATTAGCCTTAACGCCATTCTCTGTACGTGTTTCCTGATGACACGGGGCAGTGGTTTTGGTCCTTCTCTCCACACAAGCAGGATAAACAATCGCTACCAGCAGCCACGGTGAAAAGACTAAAGCATGAACAAACATCCCCAAATAACTAAAAACCATGAAGCCAAATGCAAAGATTAAAGCAGAACATTGACCTAGAGGTTTCCTGATCGAGTAGACGTGGTTAAAGACCAAAAGTGACAGATCATGTGCTGCTGTGGCCCCCAGACTCTGGAACTCTCTCCCCCTTGAGTCTGAGATCAGTGGACTCAGTGGTCTCCTTTAAGAAGCAGCTGAAAACTCACCTGTTCAAGCTGGCTTTTGCGTGACCATCGTCACCATCCTTTCCTTGTTCTGCCTGTCCCGGGATCCGCTGAATTCTATCCATCCATCCATTTTCTGAACCCGCTTTGTCCGGGGGGGGGGGTGTCTGGTGCCTATCTCCAACGGGCAATCAGGCGGGGTACACCCTGGACAGAGAGCCAGTCCATCGCAGGGCAACACAGAGACACACAGGACAAACAATCATGCACACACACACACACCTAAGGACAATTTAGACAGACCAGTTAACCTAACAGTCATGTTTTTGGACTGTGGGAGGAAGCCAGAGTACCCAGAGAGAACCCACGCATGCACAGGGAGAACATGCAAGCTCCATGCAGAAAGATCCCAGGCCAGGAAGCGAACCCAGGACCTTCTTGCTACAAGGCAACAGCTCTAACCACTGCGCCACTGTGCAGCCTCCGCTGAATTCCCTCTTTCCTTATTGTTTTCTCTCTCACTTTCCTTACGTTTTTTTTTTTTCACAATTTAAATTTTTCCTCATTTGAAACATATTTTAAATTATTTGAAATCAATGTTATGCTTAAATTGTTCTTGTTTTTGTGAAGCACCTCATGATTTTTATCTTGAGAAGCACTGTATAAAAGATTGTTTTCTTTCTTTCTTTACATGCGAGAATACATGTTATGACCACTTAGCCTATTGTATCTGCTCTGTTTATTATTATTTTTTCTTTTTTTATTCTTTCTTTTTTTTTCTTCCGCGTCTTTGGGTGGCCTTTAGAGGGTCTTAGCATATCCAAAAACTCACCAAATTCTGGCCCAATATAGAAAGTGCGTGAAATTTACGTATTTCACTGGCAACGTGAAAGTTGGTAAAAAAAATGTTTCAACAGCGCCCCCTGGAAAATTAAAATTACCCCTCCGCTTTGACCTTTTTTCCATAGTAGAGGCAGAGCAAGCTAGTGGTAGCTAGCTGTGCCTGCTAACTCTAGAAATACACTGGTTGTATATTTATATTGATGTAAACAATACTGAGTCATCTTGTTTCTTGTTTGAAATTATAGAGAATTTCAAAATATCAATATTTTATAAGTGTTTATAAAATGTATTTCTTGTTAATGAAATTATATTGATATTTAATAAATATCGATATATCGCCCAGCCTTAAGTTACTAACATTTTCTAAATTCCAATACTTCTGCGTATTCCTGCGGACTCATGGTAGCACTGTGCAGTTCTCTGCTTGCATGCCCAGGTGAACAGGTGAAGCTCCAGTAAGCCCACCAGGCAAAAGTCGTGTGTTTTACTGAAGTGAAAAGCCTGGTCTAAGTCCTTTTAAAGCTGATTTTTAAATAAACATAACAGCCAAAACAGCTTTTGATCTTGGTCTATAAAAACATCACAAAGCTCTGCAGCTAAATATAAAAGTCACCTTCAAACATTTCCACCTAGACCAAATTCAACACAGCAGTTTGTTTTTGTGAAGGGACAAATTTGATAAAACCTTGTTTATTAAAAATGCCAACAGTCAGATTTGAAGTTGCACTGGATGTTCTTTGTTGTTTTTATTCTACGTTTAAAGTTTCAAATTCTCCACAATCCAACTGTGAGCGTTTGATGAATGACTTGGAACTGTGTCATATCCATCAATGTTGTTTTCCTTCTTCCAGGGATCCAAAATGTCCTGAGCCTGTTTTGTGCGGTTCTGACAGAACACAAGGTTTTGTTTCACTCCACCAGCTACCAGAGGCTCGGAGAGGCGTGCCGGGCCCTGGAAGCCCTCATGTTTCCCCTTAAATACAGGTGAGTGTGTGTTTGACCCCCGCAGAACGGACAGATTCTCATCTGATTTTTCCACTAACTCTGCGAAGTTTATGGTTTCCGTGTCTTGTGGCCTCACTGATAATTAACTTTGCTCTTTACTTTCTTCCTTTTCAAAGAACCACCTTTGTTGTTCTAAAATGACTTCAAGGCTGCCACTGACCTTTTTCTCCTTACTAATCTCTGGGCTAAGATTAAAAAAATTCAACAGGTTGGAAATCCAAACCAAACTGGTCAGCTGCTTATACAGCTCTGACCAATCAGAGCATGGACCAAAACACCAGGGGGTACGGGACGTAGTGTGCCTGTGAGTCATAAATCCTTGGGCCCTGTGGATTGTGGGATTGAGTCTCCTAATCAACCCCACTAGATACCATTGTACAAGGACTTACTTTGTGTGGTCATAATGTTACGATTGATGTGTTTATACATTGAAGCAGTTTATTTGTTAACCTGTTGAGCCTCTATTTGTTTATCCTCATTAACATGTGGGCGTGTGTAGCGTAACAGTGAAGCTGCTTCGGTTATCAGAGCTGGACCTCCAATAATCAGAGATTCCTGGTTTCATCATAACCTTTCCTCGAGCCGTAGTGCCTTCAGGCAAAAGACTTAACCGTGAGTTTCCCAGAGTGGCAGTTTAATCGCGTCCTCGCCATCTCAGAAGCTGCTGGTGGAAGAAGGGTCCACGCTACTGGGCCACCTACCAGTACTGGTCTGTCAGTCGTTTGGTTCTGAGCAGCACAGAAAGAATACAAACACGATTACGTCAAGATGTTTTATTCTCTCTAAGCCTGCTGTATTTTACGCCTTTCAGGAGAAGAGTTTACAGAGTGGTTCTGTGGTGTAAAAAGCAGCGTTCAATGGCTCAAAGAAACATCGTTTTTACAGCTCGCTGTAGGAGACCAAAAAGTGATGTAACTGACGGAGTACTGGAAGGATTTCTGCCATGTTTTTTGGAGTTGGAAGTTTAGAAAAAAACAATTTGAAGTCAGCGTCAATACTTTTACTTTTCTTCCATTTGGCTTTACCATCAACTCTTCCAATTTTACAAATGCAGGTTTTTGGGCAACGTCTGCCAATATCCAACACATTCTCACACCCTAAGCATCGAAAAATTACGCGCGTGACCAAGCGTCAAAATATGACGATCAGGGTGCCCCAGCGCGTCGGGAGAGGACGCGCAGGGACACGTGTCACCGTGGGCATCCATATCCGACGCCCGCGGTGACACGGACATTTCACCTTGAACCTCTAGCGATTTAACCTTCCCCTCACCCCCATCCTAACCTTAACTCAGTAATTTTCAATTAAGCTTTGCATACGCAAGCTGGTTAAGGTTAGAATGGGGGTGAGGGGAAGTTAAGTAGGTCACAAATCGGTCAAATATCCGTCTCACCGCGGGTGTCGGATACTGACGCTCTGGCACAGCGCGTCCTCTCCCGATGCGCTGGGGCAACCTGATCGTCATATTTTGACGCTTGGTCACACGCATCATTTTTCGTCGCTTAGGGTGTGAGAATGTGTTGCAATATCAGTTCCTGCTGAGCTACAACCAATCCGCATGGTTAATCTCAAGTCCCGGCCAGGCATGTACTGGCTTGGTTCCTGAAGTGGTCCGGACTCTTGTCCTTTTGTATTCATCAGCCTTTGAATGAATGTTTTTTATGCTGCACTTTCTGCACTGTAACTGCTCACCTTTTAGCTTAGTCTTTTTTACCGATTGTTAAATCTGAAATCAGTTTGTGTTGTTAACTCATTCACTGCCAGCCGTTTCCTGATCGGTAAAGCTCTTCGCTGCCAGAGTTTCTCACCGTTTTTACAGTTTTTTTTAAGAGTCACAGAACGTCTAGGATGATGTTGATGCCAAAACAAAGAGGAGACTCACCTCTTACATCAGGAAGAACTGCGCGTTTCAAGTGTAATCCGTTCTTTCATAATCCGTTGTTGAATTGTGATCGGCAGAAGCTTTTCCTGTTCGCGCCTCACTTTTTTTTTACAGCAGCGGCCCAAAACGATCTCCTAACACATGGATTTTCTGCTTCCTGATCACGTGATGTGTGACGTATGTGGATGAAGATCGGCTTTTAGAGCCGAGATGTTTGTTCTCACGGTGCGGGGGCTCGTCCTACGCCCACACAGTAAAAAAAAAATGCAAATGACGACCTTAGTCGTCATTGGCAGTGAACGAGTTAATTAGATTTAATGTATTTTTGTATTTTAATTGTGCTGTTACATTATTTTAATGTTGATAAAGCTGCCTTGCCTTGCCTTCCGGGCCGGGCCGGTGAAATGGAGACACACTCGCACTGTGAAGATCCTGCAGAATTAGCCAGAAGTTCTGAAAGCGAAACATGCCCATTCCTCTCTCTCTCTCTCTCTCTCTCTCTCTCTCTCTCTCTCTCTCTCTCTCTCTCTCTCTCTCGCTCTCTCGCTCTCTCTCGCTCTTCTCTCTCGCCTCTCTCTCGCTCTCTCTCGACCTCTCTCTCGCTCTCCTCTCTCTTCCTCTCTCTTCTCTCATCATACATGGAGCTTTAGCTACGAACAGACACGGAAGCCCGCTTTGATCCAAGCACCGGGGAGGGATGTCCTTTTTGTAACCAAACAGAGACCCTAGAGCATCTAGTGGTAGCATGTTCTAGGTTATCAGGGATGTTTTAAGGCTTTAGAACAGTGGGTTAGTGCACTGGGGGAGGCTTTTACCCTACCCTTATTTGTTTTCGGCCCAAGTACAGTGTCAGAAAAAAAATGGACCAATATTGTTAATTAACTTTTTAATTTGCATGTGCAAAAACTAGCCATCTGGAAAACCAGAAAAAACCAGATGCTGGACAGAGCTGGACTGATGCTGAGAGGGAGTCTGGAGGGGCCTGGTTGGAAGCTCGCTTAAAGAATCGAAACACGCTTTTTATGAACTTACTGGGAACCTGGACTCGTTTAGAGCAGTGTGGGGGATCGGGCAGGTGCTCTGTCTGCTGGATGGACAGGGCTCCCTAAAG